GCCCCATTCAACCTGAAACTGGGCTGGGTGCAGTGGCTCACCCCTGTAATCCCAACATTTTGGGAAGCTGAACTGTAATCCCAACATTTTGGGAGGCTGAAGCAGGATGATCACTTAAGCCTAGGTGTTCGAGACCAGCCTAGGCAATAGAAGAAGATCCCTGTCTCTACAAATAATTAAAAAATTAGCTCGGTGCGGGGGTTCATGCCTGTAATCCCAGCACTTTGGGAGGTGGCAGCGGGCATATCGCCTGAGGTCAGGAGTTCGAGACCAGCCTGGCTAACATGGTAAAACCCCATCTCTATTAAAAATACAAAAATTAGCTGGGTGTGGTGGCGGGCGCCTGTAATCCCAGCTACTCGGGAGGCTGAGGCAGGAGAATCGCTTGAACTCGGGAGGCAGAGATTGCAGTGAGCCGAAACCGTGCCATTGCACTCCAGCCTGGGCGACAAGAGCGAAACTCCGTCTCAAAAAAAGAAAAGAAAAGAAAAAAGAAACCCCGGAACAACAGGATTTGGAGAGTTTCAGGTTATTAAACACATGGAGGCGCTGAGACGGTGGTGCACCTAGAGAGGGCACGGAAACTCCATGCCACCCCCACCTCCCACAGCTAGCCCTATGATCTCTCCTGTGTGGCTGTTCCTGAGTTGCCGCCTTTATAAAAAACCACGTAAGTAAAAATGTAAGTACAGTGTTTTCCTGAGTTCTATGAATCATTCTAGAAAATTATCAAACCCGAAGAGGGAGTTATGGGAACCCCTGATGTACAGCCATTGGTCAGAAGTACAGGTAGCCCGGGACTTAAAACTAGCGTCTTAAATTGGGTCAGTCTTGTGACACCGAGCCCTTTAACTTGTGGGATCTGATGCTAACTCCAGGCAGATAGTGTCAGAATTCAACTGAATCGTTGAATGTCCAGTTGTTATCTAGAGAACTGGAGAAGTAGTGTTAGAAAAGATACCACATCAAGTGTCAAGAGAAAAAGAAACCATCATTGCCCATCTCTCAAAAGATCACTGTCCTTCACTGACCAATGTCCGGTGTTTTACATTTTGTCCATTTTTGAATTGTTTCAGGCAAGAAGGTGTATTGAGCCCTGTTGCTCCATACTGGCCAAAGTGGAAAACCTCAAACCCAAGCCTTCTCCACCACCCACAGGGCCTCCTGTGCCTACTTCTATCAAGGAGGCCTACATTGGAATCATCTGACCCCTTGTCTGTATGACTCATGAGAGCCACGGTAAAATAAAAATTTAATCTCTGAGTCACCAGTCCCTAGCACAGAGGCCTGGCTCACTTGAGATTCTAGGGAAGTTTTGCTGGTTGAATGAACGTATGTGTGGATGCAAGCCCTGGCTCAAAAAATCTAAGGTCCTCTATGAACACAGGTCCCCAGCGCCATTCAGAAAGGCTCAACCCAAGGTTTGCACTGAACTTGAGAACAAAATCTAAACTCTTCACTAGCCAGGAGAATTGAGGACTTTATTTCCTTTAATGACAGTAAGAAGAGAACCCAAACCAAAGCCCAGAATAAGAAGTGCTTTGATAAACTGGACAAACACCCTGGGAAACGGCAATTAGAATAACTTGCAATTTCAATCACTCCTTTGTTTCATAATTTTCCTAGAAGCTAAATATTTTGCTGGTTGGTACAAGGGGACTTTCCTGGCCATCTCTTCAAAAGATAGGAAATTAATAATATTGGGTCTTGCGAGTATTCACTTAAGTTTAGATAATTTCTGTCATTTCTTGTTTAAAATCTCCCTAATAACAAGAACATGCAGTAACAAGTTTTTTGGCATTTTTCTTAAATGAGGATAGGAGAAAAGAGATTGTTCTACCCTGTTCACCCTGGCCATGACCATATCTAGGTGCAAAGAAATGGTATACAGTGTGAAGAATAAATCAATTCCTAGACACATTCTACAGGACTTTCCTAAATTAGATCATAACAATTTTAAAGGTCAAATAAAGGCAAAAACACTTTCAGTCTGAGTACCAAGGCATCATGTGGCTCCTCACAGTGAGCTGTGAAACTTCCCCACCAACATTAAAGTGTACAGCCAAGACCCACGGGAGAAAAAAAGAGAAAAAGACTAAATTGTCCTGTAAATAAGAGATTCAGGATTAACACAAGCATTCTTTTGTGTTTTTTTTTTTGAGATAAGGGCTCACTGTGTTGCCCAGGTTGAAGTGCAGTGGTACAATCTCAGCTCACTGCAACCCCCACCTTCCCTGCTCAAGCGATCCTCCTGCCTCAGCTTCCTGGGTAGCTAGGACCAGAGGTGTGTGCCAGCACACCTGGCTAATTTTTTGTATTTTTGGTAGAGACTGGGTTTCACCATGTTGCTCAGGCTGAAGACAAGCGTTCTTATGGCCATCTCTGGAGGATATTGAGGGGTAGGTTTAAAGTCCGACCATGCTTTTTTTTTTTTTTTTTTTGATACACGGTTTCGCTGTGTTGCCCAGGCTAGAGTGCAGTGGCACGATCTCAGCTCACTGCAGCATCTGCCTCCTGGGTTCAAGTGATTCTCCTGCCTCAGCCTCCCAAATAGCTGGCACTACAGGCAAGCACCACCACACCCGGCTACTTTTTGTATTTTTAGTAGAGATGGGGTGTCACCATGTTGACCAGGCTGGTCTTGAACTCCCGACCTCGGGTGACCCATCCCCCTCAGCCTCCCAAAGTGCTAGGATTTCAGGCGTGAGCCACCACACCCGGCCTAGGCTACCATGCTTTTTAAAGAGCAAGAGAAACTAGCTTAACAGGTATAACATCCCCTTTCAATAGAAAAGTCTCTCACCAAAGATCCTTCTCTGCCAGTGCAACTGCGGCACATCTACTTTCACCACGGGGATGGTTCTCAAACTTAGCACTGTCTATTTCACTCTCTGCTTTGAATATCAAGAGGTCCACATGTCCACAGAAGTAAAAAACCATTACTATGGTGTACAGGGTTCTTCATGATCTGCAAACCTACACACGAAAAGAATGTATTCTCTTCCCACACATCATATACTCTTGTCTAGGGATTCCCAGGGTAAGTTACCAGTAGGTCAATTAGGTTTGGATACACAGAATTAAACAGTTCAACAGGCTAACCTGTTCCTGGCATTACTGAGCTCCCAGAATTCCCCATGGAACACCTCCATGGACCAGTGCTCTGGAGAACGCAGATGCTACTCTCCAGACACTTCAAACTGCTTCTTCTCTGTCTAACACACCACCTTCTTTCATTTCTCCTTCCTTTGCACACCTTGAAAGAATATTTGTTTCTGTTCTGTCTCCCCCTTCTCACTCCCACTCACCACTCACCTCTCTGGGATCAGGCTTTGAACTCTAACAGGCTGCAGAAACTGCAGTGCTCCGAATGTGGCACCTACCTTTTCTCGTGTCTCTTCACATTCTGAAAAGTACAAAATGATGTTCATCACTTATGAAAGCATTTGCATGCAAAGGCAAAAAAGTGGCCGGGAAGAAGATGTAATGCGCTCATGAGGTGCTTGCCTTCGGAGACAGGAGGGACACCTTTTCTGGTGTCCCTTCGCCCTGTCACATCTCACTGCAAGGAGCTACAGGATGCCTGAGGACTAAGAATGAAAGCATCTTTTTGCCTTTTTTGTGTGTCCCTTTGCCTGTGTACTTGGTCCCTGTGTACCTGTACACGCCCTTTCTCACACCTCTTGGCTTGGCTCACTTCTATGTCATTTTTTCTATTTTTCTTTTGAAAATTAAAAATACAGAGAGAAAGGCAGAATAAAAACCCAATGCCTGCATTCCCATTCATCAGAGGTGACAACCATGAGACCACACTAATGAATGTCATGTTGTTAGGCTAATAACGTTGCGTTGGCTTCAAGACTTTTCTTTTTAATAAAAGAACATAACAGGATAAAAGTGAAGGTCCTGTGATCTCTGCTGACAGCCCACTCCCACTCCGCCTCTCCTCACAAGCACCTCACAAGTGTCCTGCGTCTTCTTCCGGTCCACTTTTATGCCTTTACATGCAAATGCATTCATAACCAATGAAAAATCATTTTGTACTTCACAAAAAACAACATAATCACATCATACAATAAGTATAACTCATCACCTTTGTCACTGCATAAAATCTAATCAGTAAGATCTACCCATACTGGCAGGCAACTCAACAATATCTGCCAATACTAATTCAACTGATCTATCAACACTGATTCTACTGCTTCTTCCGCCATCTCCAGTTACTAAGAACTTAGCACCAGGCCCTGTCTCCAAGGGCTTATTTGCCCCTCCCAGTGGCCCCCTAAGATGCCCCAAATGCCTTCAGCTGACACAGGGCAGGGACACACTCTCCAGGTCTGGCCCAGTCTAAGGCTGTGCCCTTAAGTGTTATGCTAAGCTGCCCCATTTTTTTGTTTTATAATTTGTTTTCTTTTTTTAAATAAAAAAATAGAGAGAAAATAAATTTTTTTATTTAAATAAAAAAATATTTTTTAAACAAAAAAAAACTCTCGCTACATTGCCCAGGCTGGTCCCAAACTCCTGGCCTCAAGCGATCCTCCCACCTTGATTCCCAGAGTGCGGGGATAACGATGTGAGCCACTGCACTCGGCCAAGCTGCCCTGTGTCCATCAATAGCCCACTAGGCACTGTCTCTGTGCCAGGTGTCTTGTACATATCATGTCTCTCAATTCCCTGAACCACGCACTTACTTATGTGTTAAGTACAATTACTATCCCCACTTTAGAGACACAGAAACTGAGACTGGGGCAGGTCCTGGAGGCTTGGTGTGAACCACAACCATACAGCTTTAGACTCCAAGTTTTTATCCACAGAGCTAAATGTCAGGTTTACTTCGAAAAAAAAAAAAATTGGAAGATGGGCCTGTGTAAGACTGTGAAGAGGCTTGAATGCTCAGCTCAGGAGTACCGGTTAACAAGTTACATGGTATTGTACCTATGTCACTGGTCCCTGATCAACACAGCACCAGAGCGCCCTGGGAACAGGGAAACGGTACTCACGGTCATGGACCTTGTAGCAGTGTCTCTGCAAGCGCTTCACGTCCCATTCCTCTAGCACGCCATGGGTCATCAGCAACTGGAGGAAGCGCCGGTGGACATCTGTCATGACGCCCATTCTCCTTGTGCTACCCTGCATGTGGGAACGAACTGAAAAGGAAGTAAATGACACTAGTCATCCCCAAGCACATCAGAAGCAATGTCCTGGGTCTTGTACTAATTTACATTAACAAATATAAATTTGCTATCATTTTAAAGTCATTCTTCATGTTGATTACTACAAAGGTGAGAAGAACACGAGTCACAGCAAATCAGGACTGGGCAGTGATAAGAGGTGTGGATTCTGGAGCTAGAATGCCGGGATTCAGGGCCTGGCTCTCCCACTTACTAGGCATGTGAAATTGAGCAAATTAGTCCCCACGGTGCTTCGGTTTCTGATCTGTAAAGTGGGAATAATGATAGAAACGTCCTCTGCAGAATTGCTATGAAGATTAGATGGGTTAATACATGTAATAGCCTGGTAAAATAGTAAGCACTAAATAAGTGTGAGCTATTTTTACTATTAGGCAATTCTGGCTCTAACCCTTGGCTGAGCCTTTTACCAGATCTATGGCCTTGGAGAAATTTAGTAGAGGACCCGTTTTTTCACCATAAAATTATAATCAAGTTCATTACTGAGAGAACTGCTAATAAACACTTAATAAATGTTAGTTTCCTCAAATCGCTAATAAAACAACTATCATGGTAGGACTTCAGGCTATTTTTTAAATCTCCTGCTTGCTAATAAAATGGGATCTTTCCGCAAACCACAAAGATCACAGCTAATAAAAGTTTTCCACAAGCCCTGATCAAAACGCTGGCTACCGCCATAGAGCACGCACTGCAGGGGCTAAGAATGTGGATTTGGAACTAAACAGGAAGCACTGAGATCAGAAAGTCCCAGACCTGCCCGATCCTAAGAATTTCCTAATGTGTATATTAACAATACGGATTCCCAAACCCTTTCCTGGATGTTCTGACTGCAGTGGGTCCTGGAATCCTGAGGTGTTTACATTCATTTTAGGTGATACCATGATCTGACAAGAAGTTCACTGGTGCCTTGGGCAAATACAGCACGCAAACATTTTTAGCTAACAATGCTCAGCCTCCCTAAGGCCCAGTCTTTTCATCTCCAAAACAGGGAAACTAGTAGCTATCTTAAAGGCAGAGGAAGCCTAAATGAATCACAACTACCAAAGGCTTGCCAAGCACCTGGCACATAAGAGATACACAAAACTGCTAATTACTGTTCTTTTGTTCTTTTTTTCTTTTTTTAAATCTGAGATGGAGTCTCGCTCTGTTGCCCAGGCTGGAGTGCAGTGGCATGATCTCGGCTCACTACAACCTCTGCCTCCCGGGTTCCAGTGATTCTCCTGCCTCAGCCTCCCAAGTAGCTGGGACTACAGGCACCCACCACCGTGCCTGGCTAATTTTCGTATTTTTAGTAGAGACAAGTTTCACCATGTTGGCCAGGCTGGTCTCGAACTCCTGACCTCAGGCGATCCACCTGCCTCAGCCTCTCAAAGGGCTGGGATTACAGGTGTGAGCCACAGGGCCCGGCCAGTGCTGTTCTTTAACAGCATCCTCAACTGGACCTCAGGGCTGGGAAAATGCACCATCTCATAACCAGTTCCTCCAACTGCCTGCTAGAAAAACATTATCCATCTCACCAAATCTGCACCTCAACAAAGCCTACATTAGACTCATCCTCTCCTTCCACCTCCTTAGCCCCTCTCCTCTCCTAAGTCCTTTTCTTTGCAAATCATCTGGTGTGGACGGTGCAGTCCACACAATCATACCACACATCTGCGCATCAAACTCTGGTCCTCCTCTCCCTAAACCTCAAATCCAGCCAGTCATCAACTTTATTTCCTATCACTAGGGCCATTCCATGTACTTGGCACCCCTGTATTTGCCAGTGGTTGCTCTGGGCACAGGGATAGAATGTGCCAGGCTAAAAAAATGGACTTGTATCCCGCAAACAAAGGATCTCTACAAACTAAGGGTCTCAAAGCAGGAAAACAGCGTTGCCTAGCTGTGTTTTAGGAAGATTATCCCCTTTGGCATCATGGAGGTGTAGAGGAAAGAAATGTGAGGCAAAGAGTCCAGAAAGCAGTCTCCTGAAGGGATCCTACGAAAGGGGATGAGGTATCACTGAGGCTTGGTAGTGGGGACAAATGATTTGAATCACGGCCATCGTGATCCCATCAAATCTCCAGCAGAATAAACTTTAAAATATCCACCTAGGTACATCCTAGTAAAAGAACATAATACCAGAGATTAAATGCAACCAAGGAAAAAGATGACTTCTGAAGAGCAACAAGTAGACGGCCGGCTGCTATCACAATGGCAACAATGGAAGCCAGTCACAGTGGAAACACATCTTCTATGCTGGGAGGGGTGTCTCAACAGAGAATTCTACAACCAGCTAAAGACTGAGGGAAAGACAAAAACATTTCCAAACAACGAAAAACTGAAAGAGCAAGTGACCAGCAGATGCTCCCTAAGGAAATTCCAAAGCATATAGTTCAGGAAGAAAGAAAGGGATACACGCTAGAAGGTCTAAAATGCAGGGTAGAATCAAGAGCAAAAAAAGTTGGTAAATACGTGGTTAAATCCAAGTTAACTGTAAAAAACAGTAAAAATCAGAAGAAATGCTTCTATCTTTTAAAAAAGTTTTTAATACCACAGTAAAAAGAATGAGGTTTTTAAAAAACTAAATACACAAAAATAATAACATAAATGGGAGGTGAGCTATCACTGGGATTAGTGTCCTAATAGCCCTGTGATGGTCAGGAGTAGAATCTGGACATTAATAAATTTTACACTTGCATTTTACAATTTCTAGAGTAACAACTTTTAAAAAAACAAATAGTGTATATAATTTCCAAATGGTAAAGAAGAATAATGTAATGAGAAAAAATGATCACTTAACCCTAAAGGTGGCAACAAAGGAAAGGAAAAAAAAACCAGGATAGGAAAAACAAACACAAAAAAAAACAAAGTCAGGAGAAATAATCCAACTAGATTAGTAATAACAATGGATAAAAATAGACTAAATGTTCCAGCTTACACCAGATTTAAAACCTTATCAAATAAATAATGAATAAAATCTACCTCTATAAGAGTTCCTTATAGGCTGGGCACAGTGAGCCCAGGAGTTCAAAACCAGCTTGAGCAACATGACAAAACTCCATCTCTACAAAAAATACAAAAATTAGCTGGGCATGGTGGCACACCTCCATATTCCCAGCTATTTAGGAGGCTGAGGTGGGAAGATTGCTTGAGCCAGGGAGGTCAAGGCTGCAGTGAACCCTGATCACACCACTGCACTCCAGGCTGGGCAACAGAGTGAGACCCTGTCTCAAAAACAAAAAAGGTTGGGGGCGCTGGTCATGGTGGCTCACACCTATCTGTAATCCTAGCACTCTGAGAGGCCAAGGCAGGTGAATCACCTGAGGTCAGGAGGTGGAGACCAGCCTGGCCAACATGGTGAAACCCCGTCTCTACTAAAAATACAAAAATTAGCCAGGTGTGGTGGCGCATGCCTATAGTCCCAGCTACTCAGGAGGCCGAGGCGTGAGAATCGCTGGAACGCGGCAGGCAGAGGTTGCAGGGAGCTGAGATGGTGCCACTGCACTCCAGCCTGGGCGACAAAGCAAGACTCAGTCTCAAAAAACAAAACAAAACAAAAACAACAACAACAACAACAAAAAGAAGCTATAAAAAGAACTGCAAATTAAATCCAAAGAAAGGTAAAATAAGAAAATAATAAGGCCGGGCGCGGTGGCTCACGCCTGTAATCCCAGCACTTTGGAAGGCAGAGGCAGGTGGATCACGAGGTCAGGAGATCAAGACCATCCCAGCTAACCCGTCTCTACTAAAAATACAAAAAACTAGCCGGCGAGGTGGCGGGCGCCTGTAGTCCCAGCTACTCTGGAGGCTGAGGCGTGAGAACGGCGTCAACCCGGGAGGCGGAGCTTGCAGTGAGCTGAGATCGCGCCACTGCACTCCAGCCTGGGCGACGGTCTCAAAAAAAAAAAAAAAAAGAAAAAAAGAAAATAATAAAGGGCAGAAATTAATAAAGACTGAAAATAAGCATATATCTAAGGTCAACAAAACCAAAATTATTCTTTGAAAAAACATTAAAAAAGTGAAAAACTACCAACAAGATTTTGTAAGAGCTAAAACTTATAAACAATATTTGAAAAAAAAGGGAAATTAACTGCAGATGAGACAAATATCTGCAATTAAGATACTTAAAAATATTATCAATAATTTATAATAATTAACCTGAAATTTAACTATGTAAAAAGTCATAGGAAATTTATTCAAAACTAATGAATGAATTATCTGAAAACCTAAACACTCCTATAACCATTAACGACATTTTATAGAAAATCCATCTTCTCACAAAGAAAACTTCAGGTCCCAATGACTTTATCAAGAAGTTCCACCAAACATTATAAAAACAAATCATTTCAAATGTTACACAATCTCAGAGCCAGAAAAAAAGCAAACCCTCCCCAGCCCATCTGATAAGGCTAACCTAATTTGGCCCTGAAACCTAACAAGGATTTCAAAAGAAAGGAAAATTACAAGCCAGTATCTTTTATGAACACAGCTGCAGGATGTCCTAAGCAAAATGCTAACAAACTTAATCCAGATATGTAAAAGGCATGACATATCATCACTTAGGTTTATTCCAGTAATGGTTTAACATCTAAAAATCAATCAATGTGAGTCACCATATTAATAAAGAAAAAAGCATTTTAAAATTCACACAGGGCGGAGTGCGGTGGCTCACGCCTGTAATCGCAGCACTTTGGGAGGCCGTGGCGGGCAGATCACCTGAGGTCAGCAGCTAAGAGGCTAGCCTGGCCAACATGGTGAAACCCCGTCACTACCAAAAATACAAAAATTAGTTGGGTGTGGTGGCGCGCGCCTGTAATCCCAGTTACTCAGGAAGCTGAGGCAGGAGAATCACTGGAACCTGGAAGGCAGAGGTTGCAGTGAGCCGAGATCACGCCATTGGACTCCAGCCTGAGCAACAGAGTGGGACTTCATCTCAAAAATAAATAAATAAATAAATAATCACAATGGAACCAAAA